GGGTACGATAGGAATCATACAGCCACACCTCAGTCTCAACTAGCGTCTCCAGTTCGCTTACCCATTTCTCTGAGGGCTAGTTTCCCAGGAACGGCATCCACAGCTCTAGCTGTTCCGCTTGGTGGTCAGGATTTCCTGACTCCAGAAGGGTCGAATTTCGTTGATGTCCTCCTTCCAGAGATCTGTTTGAAGCGCCACCCTCCACTCTGTCTCTCTGTCATCTGTGATAGGGTACTCCATACTGCGCAGCACATCCTGTAGTAGCTGCACCAGAATTTTGGCGTCAAAGTGATGAGATACTGCGGCCTTCCATCTCTGAAGGAAGTAGTGCTGGTTTTCCCAAATCTTTATGTGAACCGGGAAGCTGTATATGGGCGCTAGTGCGCTTCAATTTGTAAATCCACGAACTGTGTCTCTGAGCTGCTTTACCTCGCACTAGGGCGCCATCCACGCTTACCTGTATAGCGGATGCAGCCTGGCACCCGACTGGGTACCTCCGTTGAAGGATGCTCCTAGCGCTTCCTGAGGACTCCAAGCACTCTGGCAGACACCACAATCACCGAACCGGAGAAACAAATAAATTCTCCCAAGCATATGAATGCTGTAGACAGTTGAATAGGAACCATACGAATAGGTTTACTCTCCTGGCAGTCAAACTGGAACAGCATACAATAAATCCTTCCCCCAATAATGAGACGACACTTCACTTTGAGGGTTAAAACAGGAACTCCCTGTACTGTCACATACAGTCTCTTTTATTCCCAATCCACAAACGCCGGTACGGCTTACGGGGGCGTTGCCACAAAAACAATACTCCAATCACCTCCACCGTTATACACATATTCCCTCCCCTTATCCTGAGAGGAAACTCAATTACACATACAGTTAAAACATACTTTCTACCCAACTTTCATAACTCTAAAACCATACATCACATTCACATAAAATTACATATTCACAATCAATCCATTCAGAGGAACAACATATTAAAAAATGGCACGAATCAGACCAGGGGTTCAAAAGTTAAGGGAAAGTCCTTTGTGACTAAATGAAGCATAGCTTTCTGGCCCAAACCAGTTTCAGAGTCTTCTATCCTGGAGATAAGTAATTCAATTATCTCCCAGGACAGACACAAGACTCCATTAAGCACATGGTTGCAAAAAGACACAAAACACTTTAAAATACATAAAGTCACATTTACACATAACACACAGACATTTCACATATCCCCAGATAGCTGGGATCTGAGTGCACATTATTAGATGAATGGCACTCCGATCACACAAATAAGCCTTTCTGCAGGGGAAATAAACGGTTTAACCTGCAGGGCCATAGTCCAAAGGGAGCAGGCGAGCAACCAGGCTTCTCCAGTTCACAGTGGCGAGGTTGGTTTCGCCACAGACAGGTTTATTCATAGAGAGTGTGCATTAGTAAATATAGCTGAGAGGTAAGTCTGGATTTACTGAGTGATAAAGGGTCTTTATTTAAATAATGGAATGTTTATTTATTTGTTCTTGTTCTAAATCATTCTGCACCATTTTGACAATGCTCAACAAGAATATAGACCTACCATAATTTTTTTTATCCACTCTCAATAATTAATTCTCTTTTCGTTTACAGACTGAAGCTATATATCAGGTGAGAATGCCAGGACAAGGAGACTCTTCTATACAACATGGACAAAAGATATAGTACTTTGTCGTGTATTTCACCTAAACAGGTTATATTTTATGAATTAAACATGAAAATCTACCATATACAATGTATAAAGAAACACCGTAACATAAGGAATGCATATCAGTATTCATGACGCAAAAGTATACAAGTCCCTCTTTAGTTTTAGTGTCTCCCCCCCCTCCCGACTGTAAAAAAAATAAAAAATACAGAATTAAATCAAACACAAGCTACTTACTATGCTACACTGGAACATACAATGTTGCAAAGCTCAGTTTTAATACTAGCACTATGTGTGTGTGCTGATACAAATAGCATATAGTGTTCTCAAATAGCAACATAATATATCTACTGCACATGTTTCCCACATTCTCAGCAATTTGTGTTTCCTGTAAATGTGTTTCCCAATGCCAGCACTGTATGTATATCTGCTGACAGTCTGTCCTCCAATGCCAGCCTTTTGAAGGATGCTGCCAGACTATCACAGGTTTTCAAGTACAATTCCATTTTTGTCTGGTCTTGCCTTCTTTTTAAGCCTTGTGTTTTTTAAATTGGATTTGTCTGTACTGACAATTGTAATCAATGTAAAGTGGACATGGTGTGTGTTAGTGCATGTGTAGTGGATGCAGTGCATGTGTGTATGTGTGTGTGTATATATATATAATGAATACATTGCTCAACACAAATACACACACACCAGTCAAACCATAAGACTTGCTTTTCCCACAGAAAAAAAGAACCACATGAGAACACAATTAAAGTGAGATTTCTGTGGGAAAAGCAAGTCTTATGGCTTGTCTGGCGTATTTGTGTTTAGCAGTGTTTAACATTTTTTCCCTGCTGTGGTTCTTTGTTGAGCTAATTTGCACACGCCTACCCAGAATCCATTGAAGTAGTGAGAGCACTGTTAAAGCGAGATTTCTGTGGAAAAAACAAGTCTTATGGTGTTTAGCAATGTATTAACTATCCACTTACTTCGGGTGGAAGGGGTTTTCATCCACACCTTTGCCCCCACTACAACTCTTTTGGTATATATGTAATATACACACACAATGTGTGTTTGATTGTAAGGAGTATGTGTGTGAAAAATCAGTGATTGCAATATAGATAAATCCACTAGGTGGCAGCATTATATCAAAAAACAAAAAAAAGAAGCTAAGTATAAAGGGAAACTTCCACTACACAACGAATGAACTAAGTGATAATGGAATGGGAAAAAAAACCTAAGGATTTGGATATATAAACACAATAGCTGCAAATGTAAAAATATACAAAAAATAAAAATCAAAATAGGTAGTCCAAACAGCTGAATAGTCCCATAAAGTCCAAAACGATGGAAATTTAAAATATTATCCAATAAAGTCTTAAACAGACCAAGTTCTTATAGTGCAAAAATACCAGTATCACATCCCACACAGTATGCTTCTGCTCAAATAGAAATAACAGTAGCAATAGAGTGTCAAGATGTGGATATAATGTAACCAGTATTGGTATAAATAAATAAAAATGTTGGATAGCAGCAGAAAATAGCAATTACTCATATACCACCGTTACAGGTATATAGTAATAGGATCTTTAATGATCGGCAAATAATAATAATAAAAAGCTAGTAATGTTCTTCAATAAAACTTCACATTTATTAAGAATAAAATTAAAATTAGAACACACTCGCAAAAATGAAGTGTAGTATACCAGCAAATGAGTCTTAACGGGTAAACAAAATCGGGTGATGTTCAGCAGACTGTGGAAAAATTCTCTCAGGCCGGTGAGATGAACTAGTTGTATTTGTCAAACCTATCCCCATATGACTCCACTCTTAGGGGGCCACTGTGACCCCAGTAGACCCCAATAGCAATTCTGGAACCCTGTATCTCCAGCTCAAAATAGTTTCCAGCATATTTCTCCCCCTTCAGAAGGAGACTAATACAGGAGACCCCAGACGAGTTGACTCTGAAGTTAGTGACTACATCCAGATCATCAAGGCCCTCACCGAAACGGTACCCCAAACAATTTGCCCATGGAAGAGCAGCACTTATCCAGCCGACCTCTGCATCCACTAAAGAATATACCTGGCGATGCGTGCCCACTGTCCTGTCTCCCTGGATCACTCTCGGCCACTGGAGGGAAGGCACGGTGGCTGGGCCCCCTCTGACATGGGGTTGGGGATCGGAGCTCATTGTCCAGCCTTCCTGGGGACTACAGGTAGAGACTAGAGTCCCATCTCAGCCCTTGGGGCAAAGGGCTAAGGTTAGCCGTGCTTTGCTCTAGGATCCGCTCTTCCGTGGGACCAGCAGTTTCTGATGCCTGAGGCTTGCGGGTTACCAGTAGGTTTGGGCAGAGGCAAGTGGAGCTCTGCCCCGATGCCAGTGCTTCAGCTGGGGGAATTGCACACTCCATGAACTCCACCTTCACTAGAAGGTTGATCTCCCTGCTCTTCAACTCCAGCGTCATTGCAAGTTGGGCACAGAGGCGAGCAGCGCTCTAACTCAATGCCAGCGCTTTAGCTGTGGTGGTGGTGTACTCCTCAAGTTCCACCATCACTGAAAGGCTGTCCTCCCTGCTCTCAACTTCTGGCATTGCTGCAAGTTGGGGCCAGGGGCCAGTGGTCCTTTGTCCTGATGCCAGCTCTTCTGCTGGGGTTACACGTTGCCGCTGGGGAAAAAGACCAACTGCCTCCTCTCCCTGTAACGCAAACTTCAGCTTGACTACCTCTATTCCCAGTAACTCAATCTGCTGCTGAAGGGGGAGACCGACAACCTCTACCCCTGCTGCATGAGTTTCCATGCCAGGAGTTGGTTGATCTGGGATGGCTGTCCAATATCCCTGTGATTCAGGTGTGGAGAATATGGTTCCTTCCACATCTACCTGACCAACATATTCAGATGTAAAGTCTATTAAATCCCCAGTCTCTGGTACCTGCTGCTGCGCAGAGTCAAACAATTGCTTGTAATCCAGTTCAAGCTCCCACTCCATGGTGGCCAGGTGGGTCAATTCAGGTTCCAGGTCAGTTGCCTCTGAGAGATCCAGTAGGTGTTCCCTATTTTCCCTAATGTCATAAAGCCGGGACCTCTCGGGACTTCCCAATTCAATTTTATCCTCAAAGGTCTCCCACAATAGGCCAGGGCCATCATAGTCCTCACCCTCTGGAGGGTCATCATCTGCTAGAAATGGGTACTGCTGGACTGCATACCACCTTAAGGTCCGGTAAGAATCATCCAGCCACAATTCTTTCTGTACCAGCTCCTCTAATTTAAACACCCATTCCGCCAGGGGCTGCTCTCCCAAGAATTGCATCCGCAAATCAACTTGATCCCAAAATCGTTGCATAATGGTTGGGAGGGATTCTCCTCGGAGACAACAAACCTCCTCAAGATCATTGTTCCAGAAATCCCGACGGATCGCGTCCCGTCAGTCCAGTTCACCCTTTGTTAAGAAAGGGCCATCGTACTGGGACAGAGCTGCTTGTAGCCTCCGCTGTAACTCCTCCTTAGATGGGGATACTTCCATTATCATTTCCATGAATTCCAGAAAGCACAGAGGGATCCCAGTAGAGGCGCTGGTGTCCAGGGACTTTTCTCCAGCTGCTAGGAAGTCATCCCACCGCTGCCAATCAATGTAACGGAGCTCCAGTACTCTGACCGAGTACCTCCGCAAAGTCTGCTTCCTTGTAGCTATCAGTGACCCTGCAACACTTTTGACCCAGACGCCAAGGCTTGACTGGGATCACTTAGGGCCTTTTCCACCCTGGACCAAGCTCAGGCCAGGAGCTATTCAGGTATATAGGGCATGTAGGGATTCATTACTGTGTTCTGTGTTTTTTGGGAGGTTTTTCTGTGTCAGCTTTCTGTGCCTTCAATAAACACATGCTGTTGTACCCTTCATCAAGTCTAGGCTGATGTTTGGGTAACCAAGAGCTCTGTAACAGATGCCCTGTACCTGGAGATTATTGTTTGCTTTGCCTGGATCAGTATACAAATCCACCCAAACAGATTTGCTCCAGTTGGTCTGGTATATTAATTAATGTACTGAACCCAGAGCAGTTGTGTGCCTCCAATTGACCTTAATAACACTTGCTCTAACCACAACACTG